TCTGTGGCACAGCCTGGTTTTCCTTTATGGCACAGCCTGGCTTTGCTCTATGGCACAGCCTGGTTTTCCTTTATGGCACAGCCTGGCTTTGCTCTATGGCACAGCCTGGTTTTCCTTTATGGCACAGCCTGGTTTTCCTTTATGGCACAGCCCGGTTTTGCTCTATATCACATCCTGGTTTTGCTCCATGGCACCTCATGGTTTCGCTCCATAGCACAGCCTGGTTTTGCTTTTTGGCACAGCTTGGCTTTTTTGCCTGGCACAACTCGGTTTTGCTCCATGCCACAGTTTGGTTTTACTCTGTGGCACAGTCAGGCTTTGCTCTATGGCACAGCCTGGTTTTCTCTCTGTCACAGCCTGGTTTTGCTCCGTGGCACAGCCTGGTTTTGCTCCGTGGCACAGCCTGGTTTTGCTTTATGGCACAGCCTGGTTTCGCTCTGCAGCTCAGCTTGGTTTCGCTCTGTGGCACATCCTGGTTTTCCTCTGTCTGTGGCGCAGTCAGGCTTTGCCCCATGGCACAACCTGGCTTTCCTCCATGGCGCAGCCTCCCCCCGAAGCTCAGACACGGCGATGGCTCGGTGCTTCCTGTGCCAAGCAGCCGTGGAGCACCAGGACTCGATCTGATCTGCAGCTCCACCGCCACCGTCCCCACACTCAGGACTGCATCCATCACCCACCCAGGGCTCACACTCGGCCACGTATGTCTCTCCAGCTGTGATCCCCAAAGCACAGCACGGCAAGGACCCCCCTCTCCCACCTTCACCCCCCCCCCCCCCCCCCGCCGGTGCCGGGCACAACCTGCCCTATGGGGCCGCCAGCTCGGGGAGGCCTCGGTGCCGCTTTTATGGCAGCGCTGACGCAAAGCTCTGCCAGCTGCAGCGTGGGAAAGGCCCTGCTCACGCAGGCAGGGCTTGGCTGGGCGAGGAGCGGCCCGGGGCTGGGGCAAAGCGTAGGGAGGGGGCTGGGCCCCCACTGGGAGTGGGGGCAGGAACCCAGCGCTGCGCTGATCCTAATCTGCGGGCAGGAAACGCGGCCCCGTCTTCCCAGCCCGGTTGGGCTTCGCGGGGCGGCCCCCGGCCCTGGGGGGGAAAGGAGGGGGGGGAAGTGGGGGCTTCTTCCCGGCAATGCCGCCCACCCGCGTTCCCAGGACGGGGAGCTGCGCCCGGCGAGGCGGGGGGATGCGGTGGGGTGGGCAGGCAGGAAGCGCAGCGCCTCGACGCCGCTCAAAGGCGCCGCGCTGAGATTTCCCCCTTTGCTGCGGTCGCTTTGGGGGCGGCGGTGGAAGGGAGGAGGGCAGGGGGATGCGGTGGGGGCCCGACGGCGGCACGCGTCGGTTCCACGGCGTCCAACCGAAATTTGGGTGCTCGGGGGTGATGCTGAGCCGTGCGCCCCTCTGGCAGACCGCTCTTGGGGCGCTCACCCTGCAGCAGAGCTGATGCTTTGGCACCCATGGGTGCTGCACGGTGGAAGGAGTTTCTTTGCACTGCAGCACTGTGGCAGAGCAGATGCTTTGGCACCCATAGGTGCTGCACGGTGGGAGTGAGGTTTCCTTGCACTGCAACACAGCTGATGCTCTGGCACCCATGGGTGCTGCATGGTGGAAGGAGATTCTTTGCACTGCAGCACTGCAGCAGAGCAGATGCTTTGGCTCCCATGGGTGCTGCACGGTGGGGATGAGCCTCCTTGCACCACAACAGAGCCGACGCTTTGGCACCCACGGGTGCCGCCCGGCGCTGATCCCCCTCACCTTCGTGCTCCCGCAGGTGAGGACGATGGCGAGCCCCGAGGACGACCTGATCGGCATCCCCTTCCCCGAGCACAGCAGCGAGCTGCTGAGCAGCCTGAACGAGCAGCGGCACCTGGGGGTGCTGTGCGACGTCACCATCAAGACGCAGGGCTTGGAGTACCGCACGCACCGCGCCGTGCTGGCCGCCTGCAGCCGCTACTTCAAGAAGCTGTTCGCGGGGCCGGGGCCGGGCCAGGAGGTTTGCGAGTTGGACTTTGTGGGGCCGGAAGCTTTGGGAGCCCTGCTGGAGTTCGCCTACACCGCCACGCTGACCATCAGCAGCTCCAACATGGGCGAGGTGCTGCAGGCGGCTCAGCTGCTGGAGATCCCGTGCGTCATCGCCGCCTGCGCCGACATCCTGCAGTGCCACGGCTTGGAAGCTCCCGGCCCCGATGACGACGACTGCGAGCGCGCCCGCCGTTACCTGGAGGCGTTCGCCACCCTCCCCGACGCGGATCCCCCCGCCGCGCCCCCCGCCCGCCCCGCCGCCCGCCGCAGCAAGAAGACCCGCAAATTCCTGCAGGCGCGCGGCGCACGCCTCAACAACCACAGCGAGGAGCCGCCCGCCGAGGCCGAAGGCACCCGCAGCCCCCTGCCCGCCCCGCAGCCCCCTTCTCCGCCCCCGATGCCGGAGGGCTTGGCGCAGCCCTACGAGGCTTTCGAGGTGCCTGAGGAGGAGGAGCTGCCCCCGCACGCCTTCCCCTTTCCGTACCAGATGTCCCCCGAGGAGGGCGGCTCGGACGACGACGCCATCGATCCCGATCTGATGGCTTATCTGAGTTCGCTCCACCACGAGGCGCTGGCGCCCGGGCTGGACAGCCCCGATAAATTGGTGCGCAAACGGCGTTCCCAAATGCCTCAGGAGTGTCCCGTGTGTCACAAAGTCATCCACGGTGCCGGCAAACTGCCGCGCCACATGCGCACGCACACGGGAGAGAAGCCCTTCGCCTGCCAGGTGTGCGGCGTGCGCTTCACACGGTGAGTGCCAAGGCGGCGGCGGCGGCGGCCCCAGGGTGTCCCCTGCCCCACGGGTCCCTTGGGTGCCCGCCGTGTCCCCTGGGTGCCCGTGGTGTCCTCTGGGTGCCTGCAGTGTCCCCCACCCCACGTGTCTCCCTGGGTTCCTGTAGTGTCCTCCTGGGTGCCCATGGGTTCCTCTGGG